TCATTAATACAAATATTATTCTATTCTTTGAGCTGACCGAATGGAGAATGGTAGGGCAATGGCAAAATGGCAGAGGCAAATGGTTTATTTTAATAATTATATTTGTTTCTCTATTGTGTTTATTTTTTTTTGGTTTATGACATTAACTAGAACTTCAGCCGAGATTTGATACGGCCAAAGTTATAAGTTTGTCTTTAAGGACATTACCAAATATTAAGAATGGTTTGTGAAGGTGTTGGAATAATATTTGGAGGAGTGGATACATGAGCAGAGAACGTTAAACAAAGGCTTCGACTACGTAGCCACTAGTGTTGGTTGGAAATCTGGTCATACTTACGGAGACCAAAACTTAATCGTATGCACATGTTTTTGAGTCGCTCAAGTTTATTTAATTGTTCTATAGTCAGATTTACATGGTAGGAAACCGCAATCTAAATATATGTAACTTAAAGGTGACTGATATAGTGATCTATCAACGCACAGCCTAAACCACTGGACTGATCGGGCTGAAATATGGCATGCAGGTAGATGTTATGATATGACGTAGGCATCCACTAAGAAAGGATTTTCATTAATTCTACCCCCAAGGGGATAAAAGTTTTATGAAACTTTGTCAATTTTAAACCAATCGGGCTGAGCCTTGCATGCACAAAGCTACTATGACGGAGGCATCTCGTAAGAAAGAATTTTGATAAATTCCACTCCTAAGGGGATAAATTAAAGCGAGCGAAGCTGCGGGCAAAAGCTAATATTATATATAATAATAATAATAATCTCAGGACAATTCACACAGCGCCATCTAGACCCAAGTTAAGCTAGCTAAAGTCTGTTATGGGTACTAAAACATAGATATTTTTTTATGTAAATACATACTTATTATACATAGAAAACACGCAGACCGACACAAATAATCATATTCATGAATACAAATGTTTGTGCCGTTCGAGGAATCGAACCCGCGACCATCGGACGTAAAGCGGTGTGCTAGACCGCTAGACCACCGAGGTCGTCAAATATATGACTGTAGGAGACTATACGATCGATGGAATATAATATAATATATGTAGTCATTCAATGTGGAGAGCAATTTTCCAATTTGAGTAACCGAGCCGTCTATTCTACGATCAGCAGGCTAAGCCTCGCTTCCACGCATCATGTGGTTGGTACCACAAGCCGTAAGCCGATTGCAACGTAATTCAATTACTTGTCCCCAATATACGGCTAGTTTCTAGATGAATTAATGTTAGATATGGAAGCCTCGGTGGTTTAGGGGTTAGTATACCGCTTTACTTCCGATGGTCGCGGGATCGACTCCCCGCACGGTGCAAACATTTGTATTAGTAAGTATGATTGTTTGTTTCAGTATTGGTGTTTACGTATTTACAAAAAATTGTATTCAAGATTTTGAATCAGATGTCGGGTACAATCTCTGCTTAGTGCCTAACTAAGCAGAACTTGTGTTATGGATTCTGCAACTTCTGAGTAATTCAAACACTTAAATGTATTTTTTTACAAATACATACAATATAATGTTTTCTATGTTCTATATATCATTACATAGTATAAAACAAAGACGCTGTCGCTGTCTGTCCGTCCCTATATATGCTTAAATATTTAAAACTACGCAACGGATTTTGAAGCGTTTTTTTAATAGATAGAGTGATTCTAGAAAAGGGTTTATATATATAATACAAGTACACCCGGGCGAAGTCGGGACGAGTAGCTAGTATTATATACATAGAAAACATATAAACAAATACAAACAATGAATTCGAATGTTTGTATTGTGTGAGGAATCAAACCCGCGTTCATAGGAGGTAAGAGGTAAGGTGACGTGCTAAACAACAAGACCACGAGATCGTTATGGAAAGAAAAGAAAGATTAATTCAATAAATCAAGTCCTAATTGCAAAACAGACACACAAAAGGTTATCATTACCATTTGGATAGAAACTCTGTACAGATGTGGGATTGTTTGTTTTTTTAATCCCATAAAGGTGTTATGAAAATTCTCATAAATTACCACAACGGCGCGTACGTTACATGAAAAACATTAAATTTTTCAGGTGACCGACTGAAAAATGGCGCGTTCGCGTATTTTAATCTGCGCCTGAAATATAAATTTATATCGAGCATATTGTGAAAGGTCGCGCTGACATATGAACATACATATAATAAGCCGCGGATTAGCATTTCAAGGGTCGTCCAGTTTAAACAACGAGGCCCATTATGGCGACTATTTTGAGGGACGAGATACTAGGCGTGGTGGGCCGGGTCATTGGGCTCCCTAAAATATGGTCGAGCGCAGTGATGGCTGGCTCATCCGTCATACTCGTGAAACGAGTGCTGCTTGTAGGGACTGGTCTGCTCTTATCACTGCGACTGATTTAATCTTATTGCATATTTATATTTGACCCAAAAATTAGTGCTTGTTGGTAGTTTGTATTCACACGTTTCGACTTGTAAATGTAAACATACAAGGATTATTTAAAAGAGCAACACACAAGTTTCTTGCTCGTTCTTCTTGTGATGAGACAGCTTTCCGAACGAATGGTAGATAAAAAACAAATTGTTATGACTATTCAAAAGTGCTTAAATTAAGTTTATTTGAATAAATGATTTTCTATTCTATTCTATTCTATTCTATGTATGTACGTATTACTTACATATGAAATTGGCGTTTTGTCGTACTGGCCACTTTGATCTCAAATATCTCTTCTTTGGTTAGCAATTCCAATTTCAAATTTATACAGCTATTTACTCAGGCATTTGTTTTTCGAAAACCGTAATTTTTTTTTTTGTTTTCCATCTTTGGTTTTTTCTTTGCGTCACTCAGGTTACGAAATGGAAAATTTAAAATATCGGGTTATTTAGGAGTACGAGTTGCACCGTGGCACCAGTGTTGCAGAAACGGCTCGAAGGAATAATGATGTGTATGGCGGTGGTGTCGCAAAAGAAAACACAGTGCGTTTTTGGTTCCAACGTTCTGGAAATTTCGACCTGCAAAGTAAGCCGCGTGGACGGCAGGAGACCAACATGTTACGTATGTACTTACAAAAAAAATATCTAAATATTTTTATGAGTTGTCTAGTACTATATTATATTATTATTATATTTATATGAGCTGTCTATGACACAAGTTCTTACCGTGGAACTAGATGGCTCTTTGTGAATTGTCCAGAGATATTTTTGTTCCTTACCATTGCATAGAGACAGTGTTGTCTTTTGTGAGGATTGAATGGGATGGTAAATTGGAGTGTTACGTATTATGCCACCAAAGTCATTAACTCGTTAATTTTTGGAAGATCGAAGAAGATTTATTATCAGAAAAATATCTCAATATTTGTTGCGTACAGTAAAGTAGTAACAAAACGCAACACAGAAGGAGAGTGATATATGTATATATACTGATTGGAGCGCACACCCATCCAAATTGAATTTTACGCATAACGTACACACTTTAAAAATTTTTAATCGATCAAAGCAACGTACTTTTATTCACTGAACCAAATTTATAATTTTATAATATTATAGTTTTACCAATAAATTCAAGAAAGTAAGCTATTTCTACAACAATGTAATGCCTGTAAACCCTGTTGAAGCTGAAGCTATCATCAAGTACCATCTGTTCATTCGAGCTGCATTATCACCACCGCTAGCTTAAACTAACCCTTGGGCACACAAATGTACGTGGCCCTTTTGGAGTTTAAAAAAAAAGCTCATTAGGTATAAGAACAATAACATTACTGATTTGTGAAAAAAGTCTAGTGTGCCCGACAAAAATCTTTTGAGAATAAATGTGTGAGAAATTGTCAGTCCTTCAGGGGCTCCCTGAGAATTGGGGCCCTGGACACAGGCCACACGGGCCCCGTGTGCCTTTATGGTAAAGACGGTATTGATTATAACGTTCGAATATTAAATAACGTTTTATTATCGTCTCGTCTTCGTATCGTTCCTTAAAGAAACACCACTTATACCGGGGTTTGCATATACATTGCGTACTCGCATTTCCCGGCTTTTAGCTGGTTCCGTATTTATTAAGCCAGCGGAATGGGAATCGACGGTTCTCTTAACAACTTTTGTACTGTCGACCCAATTTCGGCTTGGCGGGTTCCCGGTAAAATTTATCTGGTTGCGATTTTGTTGTGGTTTCGGGGGAGATTTATGTTATTGTACACTGAATTTATAATTCTGCATATATGTACATATATATAACATATTTAATATAGTATTGTACTATCTCAAAATTAGAATTTTTTAAAATTTAACTTTAAAGTTGACACATTATGGTTGATTTTGCTAGCAATTAATTTTCGAGTTAATGCAGTATTGCTATAAACATGCGGATTATAAGCCGAAGCGAAGTAAATGAGTCTATACATTATATATTAAAACAATGACACACTATGTTACTACATATATATAATAAATACATAAACATGATGTACAATCATGTTAAATTATTATATTTATTTATTTATATTAATACTAGCGACCCGCCCCGGCTTTGCGCGGGTCTCAAAGTAAATAAATTTACACAAAACCTTCAGATATCACTCTATTTATATATGAAATCCGCTTCGTTGTCTCAATCCAGTAAGATTATAGCGAATATACAGACAGATGCGACAGGTTATCATTGTGACTACTACCTCATCTCTTGCAATTTTGTGTCATTTCGAATTGGTTAGTTCTCTGTAACTTTGTTTTCACCATCGTTATTTTCTTACATATTATAAATCATTGAATATTTTGCTATTTTAAGTAAATTTGATAAAAGTCTAGTTTATTACAGAGTATTTGTTATATTTTTGTTTGCACTATTATTATTGTCTTGCAAATAATAAGCCTTCAATTTTAAACTATTCATAGTTAGTTCCTGAGTAAAAGCTTAGTCTATTATATAAATTTTAGTATTTTTCTATTCCTACCATTATTATTGTGTTACAAAATATTTCCCTTCAATATTATATCATTCTGAGTTTGTTCTCATAAAAGTAGTTACAATATTAGATTTGTATGTTCATCATCTTTATCAACTGGTATTAGCCTTACTAATTCGTGTGAGTCTGAATATATTATATTATTATGTTTGTCAAAGGTAAACCCTAGTACACCTTGTATGTTTATAACTCTTTTTACTTTCTGGATTATTTTACTGATCACAAAAATTCCATCTTCACTACAAACATATACGTGCCCGTCGTTGTCTAGGCTCATTCCTAAAAATTTAGGACTATCTTTCAATAAAACAGCATTGAAACTATCATTTTTGATACCAAATAATCCGGTGCTGTTAATGAAAAAGACGTTACCATCTTCATCAAACACAAACTGATGAATGGTAAAACTCTTTAGTTGTGGTACATATTTGAGGGTCTTGTTTTGATAATAGAAAGCACTGAGACTAGGAAATTTAATAAAATATATGTCATTCTTTATGAACAACCACCATATGTCCAAATTGCTGACAGAAAGTCTCTTTAAGTCTTTAACAAGTGGGTTATATTTGTAAATACCGTAACTTCCGCCAAAGTAGATTTCGCCTGTACTGTTATCCGCTGCCATGGCAAATGCATCTTTCACTCCTTTTAATACAGTCAATTTTTTAGTGTCAATCCTTAAAATTGCTGGTATGTATTCTCCCTGTCCCATATCAAAGCTGAAGTATAATATATTAGAGGATTTATCAACTGCAAGCTGATTTGGACTGTGTGATAATGTGGCTAAAGTCTCTTTCATGAAACACTGTCTTGAAATGTCATCTGATTGAAGGTCGCAGTATTTTCTTTTGAGTCCCGTTGAATGAACTGTTATAAAGTAGTAAAAGATGAAGTACTTCATATACCGCATCTCGTAACTTTAACACCAGATGAAAAACAATCTTCTGTAGCTAAACATTAAACTGAAATCAGATTGCGAATTGAAATTATGAGCACGTTTGATTACTGCGTCCACTTAGTTTAAGAGTTACATTACGACCAATGTTTAAAAGACAGGAGTCAATAAAGGTCGGTGTATACAGAAATATTCTTACAAGAAACAAATAAACAACGAAGGAATCTGTAAACAGTATTGTGTATGCATGGATTTGGTAAGTAAATATTTTCAGTTGTAATTTTTAAAGCGATGTCTTTGTTGTTATTTGTGTTTGTAACAATTGTTTTTGTTAGATTACTTGGCTAATCCTCTTAACATAATGGCAATCCACATTTAGTTGCCAATGAACCGAAGAAAGAGATATATATTTTACTTTCGTTAGCGATGATTTCCGGATGGATTGTAAAAGAGTTGATCAAAGTAGGAAGTAATTATAAATTTACTTTTATAAAAAACAAGTTTGTAGACATTTTTTTATTGAAGCTTTATCACTATTAGTTGAATATCTTAATGGCAACAATAATAACAACCCTGGATTATCCACAAAACGCCATCTAGTCCCTAACTAAGCAGAGCTTGCATTTACGGGTACTAGGTTATTGGTTTAAATCTTTATATATATACATATTGGTAAGAAATAGTTTATTACCATAAACAATCAAATCTTTCCTCTTCTAATATTAGTTTACCTATTTGTCCCATAAAAATAATTCAGTCCCATTAAAGACCTAAAGCATAAATCTTTACAGACGTTTTTATATTAACTTTGTATTACAAAAAGTATCGTAGTATTTCAACAAAAACCTTTATTTCTCAAATTAATAAAAGATATTTGTTCGAAGCACGAAGGATCGTCCTGCTGAGATATTTATAAATGAAATAGTGACAGGGAATCGTACAACAAAGCAATGTACAGGAATCGAGTTGTAAAAAGGCACCGAGCGACATAAGATTCAATAATCAAAGGACGGGCCCGGGTCTTGTTTACTTTCTGTAATACAATTGTATGGGAGATATTTGGTTATATTGTTCGCTTGCTTACACATAGTCTTGTATTACTTTCGGATGACGTCACCAACTGGTTTAGAAATGACTATAAAATGTAGGTTATATAACTGGACTGAAATGCTAAAGTCTATGGACTAATGCAATGAATACAGACAGAACATACAGCGTTCAAAAGTCTCATCATGGTAATAGAGGTTTGGATCACAGCTGCAAAAGAAGGAAAAATAGCACCAAAGATCATAAATATTGAAGCTATGAGGGTTGGTATCGACACGGCTGAACAGATTGGAGTGTGCCAAAGCCCCAGAAGACCATCAATGAATAGTGTATGAAGGAAAAGGAGAGAACTATGCTCACACACTTGACACAATACTTTTTGTGGAGCAAAAAAGCGCATGGACTTTAGTCTATGGAAAGGAATAATGGAATGGTGCACCAGCCCGCGATAACGGTATACGATGGCGGGGCACCAGTTGATGATGTGTTCTGTGAATGATACGTCGGAGTAATATAGTAGTTTGCTATTAAAAATATCTTTATTCATATATAATTACAGCATTTTCATATAGTATTTACAGCGTAGGCTGTCACAATCAGAGTTTCCACCCATTACAATTTTAATTTACATTATTTAAATCACAAATTTAAGATATCTTTATTCATGAGTGGTACGTGATGATGCGTCTCGAATGCTCAGATGGTAGGTGAGGTTGTCTTCAGCAGATTACGGGTTGTAGAAATGATAGAATTGCTTATAGTCTTCAATTTAATGAATTGATTTGATTTGAATATTCTATTCTATTCTATTCTAATGGGTAAATACTGTGATAAATTACAATTTTGGTGGAGTGAACAAAAGTACGTTAGATCCATCGGTTGATATTTTAAGTCTGTACGTTACGTTGCGTATTTAAATTGGATGGGTGTGCGCTCCAATCAGAACGCTCCTTTTGTGTTGCGTTTTGTTGCTGCTTGTACGCGACAATGAGGTCTATTACAGACTCTTATAATATGTCAAATCTACCGTCAGTCGGAGGGATTTCGAGATGAGAAGAACTGACAAGAAAGTCAGCTCGTATTCTTTTCAAATAAGGATACAAGTATACAATTATACAGATTCATTTTTAAATTTAAATTTGGGAAAATAGAGTGACCTCTAGCACATGCTATTGCAATTTTGTCAAAACAAATAGTGTAATCAGTGTTCATAACTCGAACAGATCAGTCTCTACAAGCACTACCCGTTCACGAGTATAGAATAGAATAGAATAGAAAATCATTTATTCAAATAAACTTAATTTAAGCACTTTTGAATAGTCAACATTTTTTTAAATCTACCTCTTATTCGGAAAGCTGTCTCATCACAAGAAGAATAAGCAAGAAACTTGTGTGTTGCTCTTTTAAACAATCCTTGTAAGTTCACATTTTACAAGTCGAAACGTGTGAATACAAACTACCAACCAGCACTAATTTATTTAGGCTCAAATATAAAAACACAATAAGATTAAATCAGTCGTAGTGATAAGAGCAGACCAGTCCCAGCTGCTTGTAGAAGCAGCACTCGTTCACGAGTATGACGGATGAGCCAGCCATCACTGCGCTCGACCATATTTTAGGGAGCCCAATGACCCGGCCCACCACACCGCCACATGTCTGGACATTTTAGTGAGCATGACTACTCATTCCACTCGACCACGTCACAGCTACAAAAATTACTATATGGTAGTTACAGTATTCGCACTTTACATGAGGATGCATGCGGTAATCAATACAAAAGCCGCTACGCTATCATATATCAAGAAAGCAGTATGAAAAATAAATTATAACGTTGTCCGCAAATAAACTTATACTTGCTACACATTGCTATCGTCTATAAATTCATCTGTCCTATAATAGGCTTTTTTACATAACATTTGTGTAATATAAAGTTTGAATTGCCTCTCTGTCAGATTTAGCGTAGATTTTGGCAGTTTATTATAGAATCTTACGCAATTACCATATAATGAATTACTAACTTTGTGTAGACGGCATTTAGGTAAAATTAACTTATTTTTATTGCGTAAGTTTCTACTTGTAAAGTCTTTAAGTTTCTTGAAACTATCTAAGTTTTTCCTTGTATACATAATATTTTCATAAATGTACTGTGAGGCAACGGTGAGGATATTTGATTGTTTAAAGCATTGATGTAATGTAGTAGTAGTGTAGTATAACCGATGAGCCAGCGATCATTTCACTCAACCATATTAGAGGAACATTGACCTGGATAACCACAACACCACAAGTTTGAACTTTATAGCGAGCATGACTGTTTCAAGTTACTCCACTACATTATTTATAGTATTTATAGCCTAGGCTGTAACGATCCCAGTTTTCACCCATTACAATATTTAATTTACACTATTTAAATTACAAATTAATAATTCAAAATATATTTATTCAAAGACTCTTATAATGTCAAATCTACCGTCAGTTCGGAGTGATTATTACTTTCTTTTACTAGATTGCTAGTGGGATATATAAGTTGACACAAAGATTTTGTATACAAGTAAAATAGCAACCTAATATGTTTTGAAGATTAACATATATAGTCGGAACACCTGTCCGCATAAGATAAAGCGGACCCTTCTCACGAAATGGAATCAGCATACGTACCGGCTGGTACTGACAGGACACGTTCATGGTCTCTTCTTTTAGATAGCTGTGATTTTTTTTATTTGGAATGGCAAACAGGCTTAGGGCCTATGGCAAGTAACCAATAACTGTGACCATCATTACATAGTATAAAATAAAGTCGCTATCGCTGTCTGTCCGTCCCTTTTTATTATACATTATACATATAAACTTTAGAATCACTCTATCTATTAAAAAAAAACATCATCAAAATCCGTTGCGTAATTTTAAAGATTTAAGCATATATAGGGACGAACAGACAGCGACACCGACTTCGTTTTATACTATGTAACGATTTCATCGCTCAATTCCACGCCATCATTGAAACACAATTATTATTTTTATTCCACTTCTATAAAAAAAATCTTAATCTATTAAACCTACATATAAATACATCTCTATATTTATATATAAACACACACGTATACATATAAATATAGAGATGTATTTATATGTACACCTCTATAGAACCAAACCAACCGCCGAGGTCTTTGTCAGGAATTTTAAAGGGTACAATTTAGAGAATCGATGTTCGAACATTTTGTAAGCGAGTGTTCGTGATCGAGCCCATTCAACAGCGCCGACTGTTGCTCACACCGAACTGCGCTAACTAGCTTACGTACGTTTAAATCTACATACTAGCTATATCCGCGACTTCGTCCGCGTGGAATTATACTTTATTTTTCTAAAATAAAAGTAGCTAAGTTACTACTTTATTACATTAGCTACCTGCCAAAAAAGTCCCGTCAAAATCGGTCTAGCCATTTCAGAGATTAGCCGGAATAAACAGACAGACAGACATTAATTAAAAAAAATGATATTTCGGTGTATGTACCGTATTTATATTCATATGCATGCATAAAAAACGGTTATTTCAATATTACAAACAGACACTCCAATTTTATTTAGATGTATAGATTAGAAAATTATAAATCTACACTACAACTCTAATCGCAAGTACAGTTAGTATCAAATAAAATCAAAATATCTTTAACCATATATGTCTATTACAGACTCTTATATCATATCAAATCTACCGTCAGTTCGGAGTGTTTTAAGCTGAGAAGAACTGAGAAGAAACTCAGCTCATATTCTTTTCACATCAGCTTGTACATGTTTCTAAAAATACAGATACATTATAAAATTTTAATTTGGTAGTATATGTATAGTGGCTATCAGCGCATGCTGTTACAATTTTGCCAAAAGGAAACAGTCTAATCAATGTCTCTAACCCGAACAGACAAGTCCTTCCAACGTAACCTGGGATGAACAAATAAAAAATCACGCTTAATGTT